AATGATATGGTTTTTTCCATCCTTTTACCTTCAGTCTGTGGGTGTCTTTGCCTTTGAGGTGAGCCTCTTGGAGGCAGCATCTTGTTGGGTCTTGTTTTTTAATCCAGTCTGCCAATCAATGTCTTTTATTGGTGAGTTTAGGCCATTTATAATCAATATTATTATTGACAAATGATTTTTATTCCATCTTTTTTATTTATTTCATGTTTTTTTAATTTGAATTTGATTGGCTAGTTTTTTTAGTGTAATTCCTCCCTTTGCTGGTTTTCAGTTTTATTTTTCATTTCTTCTTTATGAAATATTTTATTAAGTACGTTCTGGTGTGCAGGCATTCTATTTGTGAATTATTTTAACTTTTGTTGATGTAGAAGGGTTTTTTTATATTTCATCATCGATTCTTAAGCTTTATTTTGCTGGGCTTAGTATTCTTGGTTGACATCCATTTTCTTTCAGAGCCTGGTATATATTTTTCCAAGACCACCTAGCTTCAAGAGTTTGGGTTGAAAAATTATCTGAGATCTGGATTAGTTTCCCTCTAAACATGACCTGGCAGCCTTTAAAATTCTATCTTAATTCTGTATGTTAGTCACTTTCATAATAATGTACGACCCCTGTGGGCCTGTTGAAATTTTGTCTGTTGGTGTGGGTCTGTTGAAATTTTGTATATTTGAGGTCCTATAAGCTTCCTGTATTTGATTTTCCATTTCATTCTTAAGGTTTGGGAAATTTTTGACATTATTTCATTGAAAAGACTGTGCATACCTTTAGTTTATATTTTTGAGTTTTCATCTAGTCTGATAAATCTTATATTTGGTCTTTTCATGTTATCCCATATTCCTTGGAAATTCTTCTCATTGTCTTTTAACATCTTTTCTCCAGGGTCAATTTTATTTTAAGATTATATATTTTGGCTTCATTGTCTGAAACTCTGTCTTACAAGTGGTCTAGTCTACTGGGGGTGCTTTTCATTGAATTTTTATTTGGTTTATTGATTCCTTCCTTTTCAGGATTTCTGCTTGATTTTTTTTTTTTTTAGAATATCTATCTCTGATTTTACTCCTACATTGTTTTTTACCTCACAGATTAATTTAACTATGAACATTATAAACTACTTCTCTGACATTTCTTTTACTGTGGTGTCAATGGATTATATTATTGAAGCATTTTGGTTTGTTTGAGGCAATTTGTTCCCTTCCTTTTTCATGTTGTTTGTGTGTCTACCCATCCAACAGTCTGTGTCTAAGGAAGTAGACTTTCTACCCTGTGGACTTATAGTGTCCCTGAAGGTCTCTAATACCTCACCATTTAGGGGGAGACAAATAACAACAATAACCAATGCAAACAATATACAGAGTTAAACCAAGTACTTCATGCTGTGACATCTACAGTGTTAATTGTCACAATAAACAAAATGATGTGATCATTTATTGCCTGCAGTAAAAACAGTAAATTTGCAAAAGGGTTTATAATTTTGAAAGGTGAACAGAGAAAGAACAGAAGTGATGTAGGGTGTGGTGATTAAGAGGGAGGAGGAGAGAAAATAAAAAGTAAAAATTAAAGGAAGAGTGAAAGAGAAGACAATAGAGATTGGTTGTTAGCAGAAGCAAAGAGAATCAAGAGAAACTGATAAATGAGAGAAAAAATATATAAAATAAAAATTAAATAAAATACTAAACAAAACCAAAATACACTAATCAAACATCCCAATCCTTAAAATACTGATCCATGAAAAATAACTGCCTTCAAAACATGGTAGAAATGCAAAAAAAGTAACAAATATGAATATGTATAATTGTCCATGAACCATTCAGGTCACAATTAAACAGATAAAAGAAAGAAGAAAGAATATAAATTAAAAAAAAATCTCAATGAAAAGCTAAAAAGAGGCTGGAAAGGGGCTCTCTGCTTTAGGCCCAAAGTGGAGAAAATCAGGGAAGGTTCAAAGAAGCCAGAGAGCACCATCAGGAGGCTAGACATTAGCGCACCTTCAAGGGCAATAGCTTTCAGGCCCATTAATGCATGAAATACCTACTGGGGCATATCTTGGTGGATTTTCATCAGCCGAAATAGAGCTCAGAGAAGCAGGATTAAAATACTCCACATTTTGGCTTTCCATCACAGTGATAATCAACTTGAAAACAAGGAGAGATTTATTTTTGTTCACAGTTTCAGAGGTTTCAGTCCATGGTAAGTTGGTTCCGTGGCTTTGGGGCCTTTGATGAGACAGCATGCCATGGCAGAAGCTCATGGCATAGCAAAGCGTTCTACCTCATGGTGGATGGGAAGTGAAAAAGACAGGAAGAGGAGGGACTGGAGTCCAAACATCCCCTTCAAGGCTCACTCCCAGTGATGTAATTTCCTTCTACTGGGCTCCACTTTCTAAAGGGGACATCACCTTCCAGTAATGCCACGGTCTAGCCACCAAGCCTTTAACACATGGACCTTTGGGGGACATTTTTCCAAACCATAGTACCAGGTAACCACCCTACCTTCAAGATCCAGAATATCCAGAATAGTAGTAGCCCCTTGTCCTCTTGGATGGGTAAGCACATGAAATGTGGTTCATTCAAATTGAAATATGTGCTGTAGGTATAAAATATGCATCAGAATTTCAAGACTTAGTACAAAAAAAGAATATCTTAATAACTTTTATATTTAATTTATATGTTATAATGATAACATTTTGGATATATTTGGTAAAATAAAGTATATTATTAAAGTTGATTTCTTTTTATTTGTTTGAATGTAACCACTAGAACATTTAAAACAACATTACAGTGCTCACACCATATTTTTCTCGAACCTAGACTATCCACGAGCTAATGGAAGAGCCTGTTGTTTTACAGAGTTCTTTTCATGGCTCCCATGTCTGGGCCCCAGGGTTGTGGGCCTCAGGTATGATTTGAAGTTTTGTGGATGCTCAGCCTCCCTCAGACTAACTGGAATCGTGCCCTTAGCCTCCCTCAGACTAACTGGAATCGTGCCCTTAGCCTCCCTCAGACTAACTGGAATCATGCCCTTTCCACATTATCAGCCATAATGACCTCCTGCCTCATTCTCAGTGTCCTCTTTGCTCATAGGCGGTCCCTTCAGAACTGGCACACCGTGAGGCTGATTGAGCACAAAACTCTAGTGCTCAGCTGCAGCTGGCTTCTGTGGGCACAAGGGTGTTGCTAAGTGTAAAATGTCAGATGGCGCTAACTCATGTGGACTCCACTTCCTTTCAGCCAGGTTAGCCCTGGGGCAGCTGATCACATCTGAGCAGGAGCAGCCTTCTGTTCCTCAGTGCAGACTGTCCCATCCAGTCTATAACATCTGCTCAGAGCGCTCCCAACACTGTCTTAGTTGTCACCATTATGGTACTTAGCATATCATAAATATGTGCACCAAATGGAAAAGGTTCAAGAAGGACATGGTGAAGTATTTTGCTGCTAGAGAAGTCGGAATCTAAGTGGCCTTCATAGCACATAGTTTGGCCTTCATAGCACATAGTTTTTCAGATGGATTTCAGAAAAGGTTGTTTTGCAGTTGTTTTCCTTAGTGACAAATTGTATCAACCTTCCAGATTCTTTTTTAAATGACTCACCTTTTGTACTGTGTTGAGCCTTGCTTTTTTCCCCTTTTTTCTGAGCTTTGTTGAGGTATGATTGACAGGTAAAAATTATATATATTTAAAGTATTTTATACACCGTATTTTATACACACACACACACACACACACACACATACACATATTGTGAAACGAGTACTACATTCAAGCTAGTTAACATCTGTCATCTCACATAGTTAGGAATTTTTAGTATGTGGTGAAAACACTGAAGATCTAACTATTACAGATCTTCAGCGTACCACACAGCATTATTGACTATGCCACCATCCTGAACTGGTCACACTCTTTGACTAGCATCACCTCTCCTGGACCCCATCTCCTGATAACCACCATTCTGTTCTCTGTTACTATGAGTTTAACCTTTTTAAAATTGAGATCATATAGTATTTGTCTTTCTGTGTCAGGTTTATTTCCCTTACCATGATAAAAGATTCATCCATGTTATTAATGATATTTTTAAGACTTAATGATATTCCATTGTATATATGTGAGAGAGAGAAACATTTTTTTTATCTATACATCTCTTGATGGACATTTAGGTTGTTTCCATGTCTTGGCTGTTGTGTGCATAGTGCTGCAATGAATATAGGTGTGCACGTATCTCTGACATTCTTATTTCCTTTCCTTTGTGTATGTGTCCAGTAGTGAGATTGCTGGATCATATGGTAGTTCTATTACTAATTTTTGAGGAATCTCTATAATGTTTTAGTTACTATACCACTCGTTGATGGCCACACATTCAGGATTTCAGGATCCCCAGGCCTTGATGGGACAGTATTTGATCATAAAGATGTGTATTCTAAAGCAAGCTTTCATTATAGCTGTAAATCACAAATAATAATTTTTTAAAAAAAGGTGAGAAAAGAAAAGATATCCTCTGTAGCATCAGCCAAGGACATTACTGCTGGTTAAGAAACTCTCCATGTATCGTTAATTCTATTCCACTATGAACAATAGGAAGGAGTCATCAAAATATTAAGCAACTTGGGATGAGGCTGTAGCTCAGTGGCAGAGCGCTTGCCTAGCATGTGCGAGGCACTGGGTTCAATCCTTATCACCATATACAAATAAAATAAATAAAGGCAATCTGTCTATTTACAACTACAAAAAAATTTTTTAAAAAAATTAAACAACTCACATTTTCCCATCTGTTTGAATAATGATCAAACATGTTTCTTAAAAACAACCTTTTAACAATAGATTTTTATTTTCCAGTGAAAACAAGATTGTTGCAGTGTCTAAAAATGAATTTTATACTCTTGTGGATTTGCTCTCTAAACAAATTTATTTCTAGGCTGAGGATTTTTAATCCTCAAAAAACACACTAGTTAAACATAGCGCTAATTTTATTTCTTCTTCCCTTTTCTTTTCTCCTTTTTTTCTCTTACAGATTCCTATGACCCAAGCAGAGTGGAGAGGGTGTGATGAATTTCTAGTGAAGCTTGGGACCACCTTAGTTTGCTGGTTGATTATTCCCTGATTGAGTCCATCCACCCATCTTGTCCAACAGAAGCTAGCAGCTCTGGTCTTTAGTGTACTGATTCTTCCTTCACCACTGTCAGTAGGAAATCTTTCATTCATACAGAATTGCTTGTGAATATAAAGCAATAGTCTGTTGAAACCATCTGTTTTTATAACATGAAGCTCTAATGCCTACATGTAGAAAAGAGTTTTCACATGCAATCTCCTTCCTGATGAATTTGGCCAAGCTAATAAATAGTTTGGTGTTTATTTGGTTCCAAGTGAAAATGTAGACATGGAAGATATAATGAATGATTTTGAAAGGACCATGAATGTCATTTCCCCTCTGAATCTCCTCAGCCTGCAGTCCACACTCACGCTAAGGGGTTTAGGGTATAGGCTTTTGCCCAGTGTTTGGGCACTTCCAGTAGCGGGTAAATGTGAATGAATATATATGATCCATTTCTAATCAATTTGGTCTTCTGCTGCTGGAAGTAACTTTACTTGTAAGTAACTTGCCATCAGAGGATAAAAGCAATATCTTTAAAGTTTCTAAAAGAGAACATTTGTACTGTAATATACTAAGAGCATTATTTATCTGGCAATGAAATACTTTGGTTGTTTGCAAACATGCCATGGTCTGCTTTGCACTCAGTATTATCTATTTTTATTTTCTGTATGGATGTTTAGAAATTCTTTATATGAAAAATAATTGCTGGTTTAAAAATAGACCATTTTAACAAAGTAACTATATTTCTTTTTACAAAATTGCTATTTTTCTATGATGTAAACAGTTGTTAGGCAGCAGATTTTTAAGGAAGTATTATTTTATTTAAGAGTCTATCCCTTGTGTGAGAGGAACCCAGAGAGGGTCCGCTCTTGCTTTAAAACATATGTCCCTGACCCATTCTTAACTATTGCTTCTATTTTATTTTAGGAAATGTCAATATAAACATATCACAGGGTTAATAAACTTTCACAAAATTTTCTTTTGCAAATGTAGCTATAAGGTTATATTTGATAATATCCCTCTACTTCAAACCAGCCTACATCTTTACAATAATTTTTACTGCCATATCAATTAAAATTACCAAAAAACATATTTCATCTTTTTATGTCTATGGGGATCTGCCCTGATGCCATACCTTCCTCCTCTTCCCCTCCCCTGTCTCTTTAAAGAAATGTGTATTTTTATTTAGAATGATTCTGAATCAGCCTCACATTTTTAAAAAGTGCTTGGAGATATTACAAAAGTATTATAAGGCCTATATATTCTACTGTGTTTAATATTGCATTAACCTGCACAAAATGTATGCATTTTATGCATTTTTTCCTTCTAAGTAAGGTATTCTTATGAGCTAAGATTTTCTATATGGTTTCATATCTTTTCCCTTCTTTCCTTTTTCCCTTCCTCCCCTTATTTCCCCTTTTATGGTTTTTCTTTCTCTCTTTATTATTTTTTGTTGTTGTTGAGAAACCACCTCATCTATTTTTAGACATTTCAAATTCCTAAAATGTGAACCATTGGCTGGTCTGTCCATAGATCCTAAAGTGATGGACTGGGTTTTGTGGCCTGCTCGTATCTGTACCATATGATGTTATTTCATAAGAACCTCATGTATTTGGACCATAGCAGGCACAACAGAGTCTAAGTCAGTCTAAATACACTCACTTGCAGTCTTGGTTCCCACCTGTAGTCATCTCTTTCCAGAGCATGGTGCTATGAGAAGTTAGAGGAGACTCCAGTTTTCACAGCAGCAATCAGACAGGCCCAGTCTCTTCCCAGGAAAACTCTGGTGGGTCACTTTGTTATGACTGGTGAATCATTCAAGTCATCTGATAGAAAGAACTCAATGAGGGCTGAGCCACTCGGAGATCTCTGTACTTCCCTCATTAAAAGCAAATGAAAGAAGGTACATGTACATATACCTACGTGCACACACCAATGTATGCATACGCACATAGGCATTTCATATACATAAGCTCTGTTCTAACTTCTTAAGTTTCATTGATACCAACCGAAACTTCTTTTAACAAAATAATTAAAATTTAGCTCATACCTCAATAGAGAAAAAAAGACTCCTCAAGGGGAAAAAAAAAAGTTGTATCTTATGTGTCTCAATTCTTTTCTGTTTTTATTTTATTCTCAATTGCTGTATCATAGTTTTCTGGAACCATTCTGCATTTAGTGAAAATTAGTACTATTTATGTTTTTAACCCTAATTTTTCTGGATTCAAGCCTTTGTAAATCTTTTGAGGGGGTGATTTTAAAGTTAGTAACTTGAAAATTTGACTTTTAAACTTTCATATTCTGAAGTAAATAACAGTTTCTAATCAAAAATAGATTTCCCAGAGGTTTTGAAATTAATACTAATTATACTTTCATTACTCCTACTTCTCATATATACACACCTGTGGCTGGAAAAAAAAAGTGTTTGTTTTGTGTTTTTCATTGTTCTTCTCACACATGATTTTCTGTTGGTGTTTAATAATTTGGAACTGGTAAAGTTAAAAGTTCTAATTTTGACCATTTTAACTAAAAATTGTATAAAGAATTATGTATGAAATGTATTTCTGGATTTGCAAAAGGAGAGAGAAATTATAATAATTTAGTTCTAGCTGCCTTTCTTTGAAGAAAATTTATGAATGATTGCAAATCATTCTTTATTATCATTTTCAACCTTATGTTTTGCAAATCCCAGAAAACTCCTTTCTAAAGATGCAACCAGTCCCTGTTTGACTCTTAAGAATTATTTCCATATCATTCATAACTACTTGGATATCTTTTTTCTTAAAGACCCTAAAATATGGATCTACTCTTTGATGCTCTGGTTTCCTTACTAGAATTGTACGTCTGTGTTTTGATTCAAGTGGAAATTCTAAGTAGGACTTTTTTCTTCCACTTGGCTGTTGGTACAGGGCTGTCATTCATGGAAGTTCAAGTATTTAAACTCAAATGACTCTGAACCTAGATCCTGACCACTTTTCCCAGCTGCAGAATGACTTACTCTGAGCATCCTGGTTTGGGGCTTCTGAGGAAATCTGATGGAGCGGATCTGCTGTTGAGCCAACTACATCCCAGATCTGAGCAGAAGGGAACAATGGAAGATGGCATTAACCTACCGTTTCATCCTGCAGCTCCCCGAAGGTTGTGTTTGCGTGTTTGGGCTTTTTCATTCTTCATTTAAAATGAGGAAATAATACACTATTGTCAGGTTAACATCTCTTGCAAAGTAACCAGTGCAGCCAAATTCTGTCTCTAAATATCTGAACTTAGAGAAACACTTGCAATTTCCTAAATTCTTATGAACGATTACATTAATGTTTGGGAGCATTGTTCTGCCAGATCTGGCTGTGCAGGGGAGAACCAAGCCTAAGAGGAAGAGTAGGAATGGGAGTGTGTTTCTTAAACTGAAGCTGTTGCAGGCCTGGAGGATTTTTGCATTTTCTTTCTGTTTTGTTTTTGACTGCACATTCTGTACATCTGTTTATGGGAGGCGAGTTGCTACTCAGGACAGAACTGAAAAGACACATTCCAAATGACCTTTAAGAGTCAGCATGGTGGGAGGTCCTTTCCTGGAGCAAGGGTTGGTCCACTCTGGGACCCACCACGCTAAGAGGGGAGACAAAACATTCAAGGAAGAGCAGCTCCAGCCTGCATGTTATGTTGAAAACAAAGGCAGTGGTTAGAACTAGAAATTCAGATAGAAGCCTCTTGAACAGGTCCATATATTCTAGCCACCTGTCCATTAAAACAGTCCTTGAGTTCATTAGCAAGTGGGGCTATGGCCAAAGTTCCTGTGCATTCCTGGCCTTGACTTTTGAGAGCCCCTCTCACAACTGTTTACTAATCCAGTAGAGGCCAGGGAGGTGCTCCTTCTGTGGTCTCTGCCTACCCACAAGCTTAACCCAAAGGCAAGCCAGACTGCTGCCACTCATCCCCGTGCCATGACTGGGAGCGAAGAGGAAGCCTCTTCCATGTGGAGCCAAGCCCTGCTGGGGCTGGCAGCTAAGCCAAAAGAGCAGCACCTACTTCTACCTCCCTGCACCCGAGCCCTGCAGCAAAGCCCAGATGTGTTGCACTCTGTCACACAGAGCAAGAGGGAGACAAAGGCAAGTTCAAGTCAAGAAACAGAAGTTAGAAACAAAAACCAGTTGTCCAAACCAGGAGAAACCCATAGATTATAAAAATCAACAAAGGACTCTCCACCTGCGTCTGCCAAGAATCAGAGCCCTGGCACTCAGTAAGCTAAGCAGAAGCATCTCAAAATAGATTACTTGAAGTAAGTAAATTAAAATAAAATTAGGGGAAGACAAGGCCCTGCAACCCCACAGAGATGTTTTTTTTTTTCTTTCTTTGGGCACCTTTACTACCTAGGGCAGGTGGAGAGGGTCCTGGGAAGACTAGACAGTAATGGCCATTTACCAAGTGAGGTCACCACCTCCAGATAAGGCAGTACAGGAGACCTTGGGTGATCAAAGGTGAAGGACGATGAGGAAAATGAGCACAGGGAAGGCAGAACAGAGCAAAGTAGCAGATAAAATGCCATCAAAGCACAGATCAATGCCTGTACAGAGCTCTTGTATTTCTCGGCACAATGTAAATACCCTTATGTTTCAGGACGGCTGGCCTGGTCCATAACACATGTTCCAAATAAAGATTTTGCATGGAAATACCTATGTCTACTGTCTTTGGCTGTGGGGGTAAGAGCTGCCCAGGATACCCTATAGACTGCTTCCCAGAGGGCAGCAGACTGCAGGGGCAGTAACAGGTGGCATGGGTAACAGAGGCCCACAGAATTCCAGCACCTTGGTTCTCCAACGAGTGTTTCCTGGGAGTTGAAGGTCCTGCTGCATCTCTCCCAAAGCCTTTGCCAACATGGTGGAAAGAGGCCTAGCGTCAGTTCAGGGACTGGGTACAAATTTTGACTCCACTGCTGGCCACATGGCCTTGCACATGTCAC